TGTGTGTGTGTGTGTGTGTGTGTGTGTGTTTGTGTGTGTGTGTGTGTGTGTGTGTGTATAAATGTATATAAAATTGCTGGACCCAGATGACTCCAGAGGAGAAAATGAAGTTGCTGACCTTGCACAGCCCTCCTTCATTTAAATCCAATTCTCTTGTAAGTCATGGCATCATCTTCCTGAAGTCATGGTCCTCTTCAAGAAGGAAAGACAAACAACAATAACAACAAATAGATATAATAGACAGATTCACATTAATTCTTAATGGCTGGCAGCCCTTTAGTGGTTTAACAAAGGTAGAGTCTGTACTGCACCACTTGGAGGCATTAGGAGGAGGGCATTACGGACAAAATAAATCTCCTCTGCTGTAGAAACTTTATGAGGATGCAGAGAGGGATTCTATCAGTAATGGCGACCTGTGCCTGGAAAAACACCTTCCACAATGTGTTCAAGATGGAAACAGCAACACCACCACAACCATGAAATATCTATTAAGAACCTATTACATTCATAACACTGGATCGAAAGGCGGGGGGGGGATGTATAGGGACAGGGGGAATGTGAAGGTTAGATAAATTATGATTCCTGCCCTCAAGGAAATTACAGTTCAGTATGGAAGAAAACGCCAACACAGCCAGTAATCAAGCACAATATTACGCAATCCAGAAAGGGACAAAACAGAGATGTAAGTTCTATGGTGGGAAGTCTGCATCAACCGGAAACAATCAGGGAAGGTTTCTCGGAGGAGCTAGAATTTGAGCTGGTTTTAGAATAGGAGTTCTTAGTTTGAGGTTTATGAATTTGTTTATTTTAATATATTTTGCTATTTTAATAAAATTGGCTTCCTTTGTAATTCCATTTGTTGTTTTATGCATTAAATTATATATATGTTTGTATACGCACTTATATACACATATATACATACGTATCTACATACATACACGTAGTCTGAGAAGCAGTCCATAGGCATCACCAGACTGTCAAAGAGGTCCATCACATGTGTAATGTGTGTGCATGCATGTGCACACAGGCACATGTGAATTCAGGCAAGTACCTATTTAGGGGTCAGAGAATTGTCCAATATGTTTAGGGTATAGTTCATACATAGGGAGATAATATGATATAAATTTGGAAAGGTAGGCTGGTGGAAGGTTGTGGAGAGCTTTGAATGCCAGGCACAGGATTTTGAAATTACTACTTGCCTGTATCCTTTCGAGGTACTGGTCACTGAGTCAAGTTCAGTGTCCATGTGGGAAGGACCCTCAGTATCCAAGCTTGGAAGGCATAAGTGGAATCAACAGGAAGGAAAGTAAACAAATGTAGTAGCACTTACCATATGCCAAGGAGCAGGTAGGTGGCGCAGTGGATAGAGTGCGGGCCCTGGAGTTATTGAGCTCTGAGTTCAAATCCAGCCTCAAACACTTAATAGCTGTGTGACCCTGGGCAAGTCACTTAACCCTGTCTGTCTCAGTTCCTCATCTGTAAAATAAGCCAGAGAAGGAAATGGTGAACCGCTCCAGTATCTTTGCCAAGAAAACCTCAAAATTGGGGTCATGAAGAGTTGGATTGAAAACAGTTGAACACACACATGCGTCAGGCACTGTGCTAAATACTTTACAAATATTATCTCACTTGATCCTCACAACAACCTTGGGAGCATAGTTACTACTATTCCCATTTTATAGTTGAGGAAATGGAGGCAAACAGAATTTAAGCGATTTACCCAGGGTCACACTATTAGTAAGTGTTGATGGCTGGATTTGAACACAGGTCTTCCTTGACTCCAGTCTCCTGGCTATCTTTGGGTAGTGTTCAGAGAACCACAGAGATATGCACTTAAAGTGACTCCATTTCTTCAGTCTTCTCCCTGAACGTTGTTTTCGCCTTCTCTTCTTTTGTGGGACATGAATTCTTTCCATTGGCTGCCTCTTCATCCATGATACCAAATGACCATATTTCCTAAAGTTGATCCCCTCTTTTGCTAAGACACTCGTGTTCTCCCCTCTGTGGTACAGGTGGCTGGGATCCACAAGCCCTGTAACCAGGGACGATTAATATGTTCTAGATACTCTAAGCATAAGTTCTCAGAAGGCCCCAGGAGCAGCTGGATACATTGTTTCTGAGAGGGGCATGAGTAGGAAGTGTTGGCTTAGCATGTGAATACTTTAAAAAAAGTACAAAGCAATTAAAACTTCTAAAACGCCAAAGAGTAAGATGGAACAGCTTAAAAATAGCTTTTGTTTTGTCTTGTTTAGTAGTAACTGCTGAAGTACTTAATATGTCCAAACTCTTTCTGGCAAAATGAAGGAACCTGAGGATAGCCTTTTTAATGAAGGAAATAGGTATACAAATGTAATTACTGAGAGGGTGAAGTCATCTCAGCAAATGCTTTTACATCTTTCATGTCTCTGCAACACCATAGATCCTCCAGAAGGAAAAAAATCCTCCTCTTTCCACATGGAGTGTTTTTTCTGATGTTTCCAATAGCATTTCCCCTCCTGCTATGATTTTCGTAGCTGAGCTGGCTATTAAGGCTGTCTGGCTTAATTTGCCATTGTTAACGGTAGCTCTTAAAAAAAAAAACCCTAATTAACCAAGAAAATAGGTCAACAAGCCAGTAAATATTTAAATAAGTGTCACATTTTATTTGAAAAGTTCCCTGGGAAGGCCTGACACTTTATGAATAAATTAGTGTTTTGCCCTCCTTCAATATCTGTCTGGCAGTGCTTTAAATGGTGATTCTGAGCCTTTGGGGAGGGGACACCCCGCTGTAATTTTATTGGTTTGATTTCATTACACTCTGCTCCACCCCTACCCTAAAAATCCTGTGTGGCGTGGAATTATTGTTTTAAGTAAGAAAGATGAATTAATTTCAATTTGCCTGGTAGAATTTCAGAATTTCTTGATACTTTTCTTAGTAATTGGAAATAGACCAGGGTGTCAAAAATCCACAGTTGAGAAGGTCTGACTTAAAGTATCAGTATTAACCCATTCGGCAGGAGAGAGACATGACGGCATAATTAATTCATAGTCAAGTAGAGAAAATGAAATAAAAACTTTATTTTAACAGTCAGTGCCAAATGGACAATACTGGGCAGAGTGGCAAGGATGTTAGAAAGTACTGTGAAGCAGGAAGTTTCTTAGGATAGGAACAGGAAATTCAGGGTATTAGAATCTGAGACTCCTCAGAGATTAAGGAGACCTTAAGATCATCCAGTCTATACCTGAAGCATGAATCTGCTTTATAAGGATATACTGGTCCTCCCTCCTCATCTGTGGGAAAATGAGACCCTAAAAGGCCAAGTCAGGTGCCCAGGATTACACTAGTACAGAGGTTCCCAAATTTATTTGGCCTACTGTTCCCTTTTAAAAAAAATTACTCAGCATCACCTCACCCCCACCCCGGAAATCTATTTTCTTTAACCCTTTAATGTTTTTTTAAAATTTGCATCATTTCAAAATATATATAATTTTAAAAAATGATATATCTTAAAATTAATAACATTGTAAATGTGTGGGTTTTTTCCTACATTGAAATTTTGATGATACAATATTGTGTCATGTAACTGTATAGTATCATACTGCAAACAAGTTATTACATACATATATTCCTTTTTTTTTTTTTTTAGGGCAATTGGGGTTAAGTGACTTGCCCAGGGTCACGCACCTAGTAAGTGTCTGAGGCCAGATTTGAACTCTGGTCCTCCTGAGTCCAAGGCTAGTGCTCTATCCACTGCACCACCAAGCTGCCCCCTACATACACATCTTCTTGCCTGTGCATGCTGGACTTCCCGACAGTGCACTATGCACTGGCCTGCCACTATTTGCTTGTTAAGATCTATCGGTGGACTTGACCAACTGATTGGTTATAACTTGCATTTTGTGTGTTTTTTTGGAAAATAATGTAATCATTATGACTTTAACTCTGTTACACAACAGATGAAACATATACGAATGGCTTTTCAAAATTCTCTTCTCTTCTTTCCTTATGCTTCCACCAGCTCTTTATGTTTATTCAACACCCCTCAATTGAAGCCAAGACTACTTCATACCCCATGGTGCTTCAATCATTCTAGTGCCCCCCAGGGAGCAGGATTGCCCACTTTGGGAACCTATGTGTAGTAAGTAGCAAAGCTAAGATTTGAATCCAGCTTCCCTGACTCCAAGACCAATGTTCTATTGCCGATAACATCTTAAGAAATAGAAATGACTTACGTATGTATTGTACTTTATACTTTATAAAGCAGTTTCTCGGGCGCTATCTTGTTAGATTTCATGTAATCCTCACAACTGGGAAGGAATGAGCTAGGCAGACTAGTCAGAGAAAGTGAGCTGGAGTAGTGGATAGAGTGCTGGGACTAGTGTCAGGAAGAACTGAATTTAAATCCGGCCTTGGATAGTTACTAGATGTGTGCCCCTGGGCAAGTCACTTCACCTTATTTGCCTCAGTTTCCTTATCTGTAAAATGAGCTGGAGAAGATATGGCAAGCCATTCCAGTACCTTTGCCAAGAAAACCTCAAAATGGGGTCGTGAAGAGTTGGACAGAACTGAAAAAGACTGAACAATAACAGCAACAACAACAAGAAGAAGGTAGTTTGATCGGGGTGTACCTGAACAATTTCATGGATTGCTTAGTTTACTTGATGTGATCACAGAGTATCAGATCCCAGGAGTCTCGGCTGATATGGGGCTCAAGAGGACAGACTTGTAAGAGAAGCTGCCTTTTTATACCGCGTTGTGTTGCGAAGCAAGCTTATTTGCTCCAGCTTAATTTACTTTCAGTTCGTATTGGTTCAGAAATAACACAGGGTCTCCGGTTTGATATATATAATCATATATGTATATATTTAATTTATTATTATATAATATATTATTATATCATTTATAATATAACAATAAATATATAATATGATATGATATATTATAATATATAAATATATAATGTATTGTAATAATATAATATTTATTAAG